GTCAATCTAAGGCGAAAGGTTTAGCGTAATGAACAATCTTTTTTTGGTTCAAGTTTGCGTACTTTTGTCCATTTTTCTGAGGAGNGTTGACGAACCTGAAACAACAGGGTCAGAAAAAGGGGGCAGGTGAGCAATTGACTTACCCCCTCCGAAGCTTAAGTCAGTCTAAGGCGAATGGTTTAGCGTAATGAACAATCTTTTTCTGTTTCAAGTTTGCGTACTTTTGTCCATTTTTCTGAGGAGTATTTATAACTGAATTAACAATGATTGTTAAAGATCTCTAGTCTCATCTAAACATCTTACATCTGACACACTATTCCTCGTGCAATGAGTGTTTTCTACTCACGTCTCNACTGAATTAACAATGATTGTTTAAAATCTCCAGTCTCATCTAGACATCTTACATCTGACACACTATTCCTCGTGCAATGAGTGTTTTCTACTCACGTCTCGTCCTATTAAATGCTAGAAAGATGGGATAAATGCTCGGCTAAATGCCGAGCATTTATGTCCTTCCCCCGAGTACCCAAATCTCTTAGATCGGTATCTGACATCAACTGAACATTGAATATTCAGGGGAACAGTTCTTCGGGGGGAGCCGATCGCATCATCTCGACGCATCAGCCATTAATGCTTAGCCATCATGACAGTAAGTCTAGACTCCCAGAGTACAGGTGTTTGCAGGCGCACATTTATTTGTCTTGTCACTATCACTCANATCATCTCGACGCATCAGCCATTAATGCTTAGCCATCATGACAGTAAGTCTAAACTCCCAGAGTACAGGTGTTTGCAGGCGCACATTTATTTGTCTTGTCACTATCACTCATTCCGTCATAAATGAATAGTCACATTGCATTAAATACGATGTCAACTGTCGTACTCGACTGTTCCGTGTCACCATACCTCGGTTTACCTCCTCGGCGTCCTTTGAACATCCAACGACTTCATTATTCCACGTATTAACCTGGGGGCTATAGAACCACCTAAAGTTCCGCCAACAATAGTAGTTTGCTTCCTCGCAATAATGTTAACACACATCATTAGCTTGGATGNGTTGTCGTACTCGACTGCTCCGTGTCACCATACCTCGGTTTATCTCTTCGGCGTCCTTTGGACATCCAACGACTTCATTATTCCACGTATCAACCTGGGGGCTATAGAACCACCTAAAGTTCCGCCAACAATAGTAGTTTGCTTCCTCGCAATAATGTTANAACCTGGGGGCTATAGAACCACCTAAAGTTCCGCCAACAATAGTAGTTTGCTTCCTCGCAATAATGTTAACACACATCATTAGCTTGGATGAGATAGTTTAGTTTTCGAACTCTAATCTCATGAGAGAGAAAGCTTTGGTGAACTAGATATAGTTGAGGACTTGACTACTGTGGCCGGTGCCTTGTCTTATCACACACAAGTTTTCCATTAGACGAAGACACTACCATCGATCGTAACATTAAAAGTTTTCGATAAAACTCAATTTATTTATATTTCATATAAATTATAAATTTTATTTATCGATAAATTTGCTCTAAATATCTTCAAGTTAAACCACCATATCACCAATTCCACCATTTTGAGCCATAACTTTTGTCCACAAAATTATTATAAAAGGAAACAAAAGGCAAATTTTATTTTACCTCCTTATAGTTTTTCCTTAGAGCACATCAGTCTCTTAGCGTTTAAAAATAAGCACACAACCCTCTTATGTATTGGACTAAAATGAATTATTAACACCGTTAATAGAAGTGACAAAAAAACCTTAATATCCTTATCATCTACAATATCTTATATCTGACTTTCTCTTTCTTCACATTCTCACCCATTGAATCATATTACTTCTTCCACCATCGTCCACTGCGCACCAATCCAGCCCACTGCTTACCACCACTCCCACTGGAAAACAACTCCGTGCAACCCAATCCTTCAACTCACTTCATTTCTCAATTCATCCATAGTAAAAAACATCAAACTCAACCCAATTCATTAACCCAACAAATTTAACCCGATTCATCACCAAAAATTCAACCCAATTCATTACCANCCAATTCATTAACCCAACAAATTTAACCCGATTCATCACCAAAAATTCAACCCAATTCATTACCAACAAATTCAACCAACCTTCAGCCACAAAAGGAGAGGGAGAGAGGGGGAGAGAAAATAATCAAAATAAAATTCAAAAAATTGTATCAAACTCAAAGTTAATTTTGAAATCAAAATCAAAGATTAAATCAAATTGAAAAAAATCAAAATATTAAAACTAATATTCAGAAATACTAGAAATCAAAACTCGTTGAAGAGTCATCTATTGTTGAGGAGAATTGATATGTGTTTCGCGTGTGAGAGAAAGAGAGGGCAGAGTAGTTTAAGATTTTCTGTACCTATGAGGAATAAAAAAGGAAAATGAAAGAAAAATGAAGAAAATGGTCCATGGGGTGAAAGGACTGGAACAATTTTGTGTGCAACGGTGTTGGTGGGATGCCTATGAGAAAGGAGNGGAATAAAAAAGGAAAATGAAAGAGAAAAATGAAGAAAATGGTCCATGGGGTGAAAGGACTGGAACAATTTTGTGTGCAATGGTGTTGGTGGGATGCCTATGAGAAAGGAGTAGATCGACGACACGTGTCTTCGGCACCGAGGCACATCTTTGTCTCTAGCGCGACTACGTGTCCTCGACATCTAGGCTCCGCTTGCTCTGATGATGGCACGTTTCTCGGCGCCAAGGCACCTTCCTTTCCTTGGGTAGTCGCGTATCCCCAGGCTCCAAAGGTACCTCCATCTCGTGGCAGACAAGTGTCCTTGGCTCCAGAGATACTTATTGAAGTTCTGGTCTTATCACATGTCTCCTACTTCTGAGAGGTTACTGATTGACAGCTGACCAGTCTTAACTAATCTAGGAATCATGAGGGTGCCCTACACGATGAGGCCAAGATGGCGAGATGAGCAAGACACTCAGCCAAAGAGAGTTAGACACATGACATTGAGTACAAAGGTAGAGGTAAAAAGACAGAAATATTCTTACTGACATGCGACTATTTTAAGCAAANTCTACACGATGAGGCCAAGATGACGAGATGAGCAAGACACTCAGCCAAAGAGAGTTAGACACATGACATTGAGTGCAGAGGTAGAGGTAAAAAGACAGAAATATTCTTACTGACATGCGACTATTTTAAGCAAACNCCTACACGATGAGGCCAAGATGGCGAGATGAGCAAGACACTCAGCCAAAGAGAGTTAGACACATGACATTGAGTACAAAGGTAGAGGTAAAAAGACAGAAATATTCTTACTGACATGCGACTATTTTAAGCAAACATTTAATAAGTCCTCATATGATGGGATATCTGCAGTGGCGTAAGAAGCTGAGAAGTAGAAGCATTAAATGCTCACAGATCTAAGTATTCAATACCTCAACATTGAAGAAGCATTAAATGCTCAAGGATCTAAGCATCCAATACCTCAACATTGAAGAATTGAGCNAGGGATATCTGCAGTGGCGTAAGAAGCTGAGAAGTAGAAGCATTAAATGCTCAAGGATCTAAGCATTCAATACCTCAACATTGAAGAAGCATTAAATGCTCAAGGATCTAAGCATTAAATGCTCAAGGATCTAAGCATCCAATACCTCAACATTGAAGAATTGAGCATTAAGTGCTCAGTAGCCTGAGTAATTAATACTAAGACATCTCTCATGCAAAATAGGAGGCACATTGCTCCATTTCTAGACGTTATCTACTAATTAGATCATCAATGATGGTGAGTCTTTGAAGGTATAAATAGTTTCAGAAAATACATTACAAAGGTACACAAATTTACTCCTCAAAAAACACAAAAACTGTGTTTTCTTTTTCCCTTCTCAAAGAACTGACTTGATCGTTGGAAGAAATACGTTGAAAAACACTCTAGCGCCCCTTCTAACCTGTCTTCTGTGTGCTAGGAATCGCCTGTGACCCGCCGAAATCAATCGAGCAGCCCCTGAAACAATTCATCACCACTCTTTAGGCACTCTTTGACCATTTTGGATTGTTCCTTTGTCCCGAGATCATCCATTCCCTCAACGAACGCAAGTTCATTAAAGGAGAGATCTGTCTTTTCATATACTGTGCGAAAANCTTAGAAAATACATTACAAAGGTACACAAATTTACTCCTCAAAAAACATAAAAACTGTGTTTTCTACTTCCCTTCTCAAAGAACTGACTTGGTCGTTGGAAGAAATACGTTGAAAAACACTCTAGCGCCTCTTCTAACCTGTCTTCTGTGTGCCAGGAATCGCCTGTGACCCGCCGAAATCGATCGAACAGCCCCTGAAACAATTCATCACCACTCTTTAGACACTCTTTGACCATTTTGGATTGTTCCTTTGTCCCGAGATCATCCATTCCTTCAACGAACGCAAGTTCATTAAAGGAGAGATCTGTCTTTTCATATACTGTGCGAAAATTACCGCGCACATATGTCAACAACTTGCACACCATAATGGGGATTGCAACCAACCAGGGAGAGGAAGAGCAGATTAGAGAAAACAAAGGGTATTATAGTCATTTATTCAAATTCATTTGGGAGAAAAACACTTGATTTTTCATTCAACCCGTTATTTAGACANTGCACACCATAATGGGGATTGCAACCAACCAGGGAGAGGAAGAGCAGATTAGAGAAAACAAAGGTTATTATAGTCATTTATTCAAATTCATTTGGGAGAAAAACACTTGATTTTTCATTCAACCCGTTATTTAGACACCTGTAACATACACACAATTAATTTTAATAAAAAATGTAACGATAATATATTAGTCTAAATCCATAAGGAAGGTTGAATGCTTATTTTTAAACGATAAGGAAGTAACGTGGTCTAAAGGTGAATCGCAAAGGGGTACACCGAAGTTTGCCCAAAAAAACCCCGACATTCTAATCCTAGCATAAAACTATGGATGGCAGTACTGCAATTTCAAATCCAATTAAAGGCAGAAATGTATAAAAGAAAACAAAACCAATTCCACATGCAGATGGACTCTCTCCCCCCTTTACTTGTCGTCTTCTTCCACCCACATCCTTATAAATCTTCTCTCTCGTCGTCGTCGACATCACCGAGAGAGAATCAAACAACAACCAAAATCTGGAAAACTGGAGAGAATTCAGATGAAAAATTTGTAGAGAGAATTTAAATCATGGAGGATGAGGATTTGAAAGCCATTGAAGAGATTCTGAGAGAGGATCGATACGGTGTCGTATCAGAACAGAATGATGATCACGGCTGGCAAACAGTTTCCTATCAGAAGAAAAACCGAAGAAAGCAGGTTAAGCAGACGCCGGAGAATTTTTCAGGTGGAATTGGAGTCGGTGTTTCCGGTGATGTTTTTCTGTCGATCGAGCAGCATTCTGAGGATCGTCGCCGGCGTTTGGAAACTCAGAGAGCAGCCATTGCCGCTGCTGTAGGAGATAATTCTGCTGTGGCTGGTGACGGTGAGGACGGAAGCGATGTGGACGGTGACTTTCCCGGTGGTGTTGTTGAGAATGGAGATGTAAAGAAGAGTAAACCGAAGAAGCCGAAGAAACCAAAGGTTTCGGTAGCCGAGGCAGCGGCGAAGATTGATGCCTCTGATCTCTACGCTTTTCTCCTTGATATAGATGTGAGTTTCGAACTCTTTCGATTTCTTTCTGGTAATTTGATTTTGTTGATTCTGATCCGCTGTTTTCGTTTTTAAAGATTGATTTTTTTGTTCTGGTGGTTCTGGTTTAGGCTTCGTATGAATCGCAGCAGGATATACAGCTAATGCGTTTGGCGGACTACTTCGGGCGAGCTTTTTCAAAGGTGAATGCATCTCAATTCCCGTGGATGAAGATTATCAAGGAGTCGTCTATTGCAAAGATGGTAGATGTGAGTCTCCCTCTCTCTCTCTCTCTCTCTCTCTCTCTCTTCAGAATTATTTCCATTTGATTAATGATGTAACAATTAATAAAGAGACATTTTCAGATAATTTTGACTTGGAATTGAAACAAAGGAACATAATTCATGGCAGAGACCTTTAAAGGTCTTGCCTTTTGGCCCCAAAAAAGTTTTATATACAAATTGTGAATGATCTGCGTGGTAAAAAAGTGTAAATTTTGTCGTGTAAGAGGTATCTGAGCACAGAAATTATTGTGTAAGAGTCCTTTTCTTGACTTGGCCTGCGTGAATATGTGATGAAATGAATAAGAAGAACTGTATGTTTTGTGCCTGCTTATTCGTCCTTTTTGGATTTTATCTTTTATTCTTTTCACTCTCTTTATTGTATTAGTTTGTGTGGCCATGTACAATAGTTGGAATTAGATTTATTGTTTGACTAATTTCTTAAATGCCATTTTCTGGTTTTGTTTCAACTTTAATCTTGGATTGTACTATTGTAGTGTTTTGATGTCATCTGTTGGATCATCTCATCTTATTGTTTCTTAACTATCCAACAGTCAATCATTTGTTCATCATATTTTTAGTATAATGCAATCATTGCATAGGTTTTCGTGTAATTTTTGAATTCATATAATTATTCCTCTTAAGCAGATCCCACTTGGACATATAGCTGAAGCTGTTTATAAGACATCAGTTGATTGGCTAAACCAGCGATCTCTTGACGCACTCGGTGCCTTTGTTTTGTGGTCCTTGGATAGCATTCTTGATGACCTTGCTCTTCATCAAGGACCTGTCAAGTCAAAAAAGATGGTTCAGCAAGCACCTCCAAAATCTCAGGTAATGTGTGTCTAGTTGCATGAATCTAACGATTATGTTGATTTTTTCATATAATTTGAGCATTCAAAGCTGTTTAGTTTGTTACCATTTTCATCAATTTGGGCATTTGTCCACTTCTAAAAAAGTGATGAAGAATAAGCTAGACACATAGATTCAAACTAGAAAGCAGTTTTGGCCTCTATTCTCCCGTGACATAGGTGTGGTGGTCAGATACAGCGTCAAGATCAGACATGACATTAGTTGTTGGATGCAACATCGTCCTTGTCGTTAAGTCGAAAAAGCACTGATTGAAGCATAAAGGATTTATAGCGCGTCCTTTGACATCAATAGTTCCTTAATTAACAGATATTCTACCGAGCTTAAAAGTGAAACTCTCTTTGTCATTAAGTCAAAAAAGCACTGATCAAAGCATAAAGGATTTATAGCGTGTCCTTTGACATCAACAGTTCCTTAATTAACAGATATACTTCCGAGCTTAAAAGTGAAACTTGTAATAATAAGTGTGTGTTCACGCGTCCTTGGACATCAATAGTTCCTTAATTAACAGATATACCACCGAGCCTAAAAGTGAAACTTGTAATAATAAGTGTGCGTTCACGCATCATTTGACATCAAATAGTTCATTAATGAACAGATATACTAACGAGCAAAAGGTGAAACTGGTAAAAATAAGTGTTTGTTCTTCTGTAAATTATATAGTGTCGTAAATCAGTGTTGAATACTAGTATAGGTTGATATCGATATTTAATATAAGCTAGTATAGGAAAATCAGTGATCTTATATGCCTCCAATATTTTAGTTACTTCAATGGCATTTGTCAATTTGGAAACCAAGTTTGATATGCGAGAATGATGATGAATCAGCTATAACAAAAACCATTGTAGCATGGAGGAGATTAGGAATTGGCATGACCCAACTCTGCAAATCGGACATTTGAAGGTGGGATGTTAGGATTAGACAGAGTATAGGAAAGAACAATAGAATGCTGTTGTACTGCACTTTCCCTCAATAATTGTCCACCTTGACCAATGAACAATGTTTTTGGAATTCCTGATGCATGCAGTTCACTACTAACTGTATTTGCGGATCTGTACTGAAGAAAGGGTGTAGCTGGAAATTCTGTAATCATCCTCACTTATCACTGTCTAAAATAGGGAATTTATTATGGCATATCCAAAAAAGAGAAATTTGGAGTGTTATTTAGAAATGGAAGGTATATAATAGTTTGAGTTACCTAAAAAACTCATTCGAATAACTGATGTATTCATTGATATAATGGTGCATCTGCAGGTTGCCATATTTGTGGTTTTATCGATGGTGTTGCGACGCAAGCCTGACGTGTTGATCAGTTTATTGCCTATAATAAAAGAGAATTCAAGATATCAAGGACAAGATAAGCTTCCAGTCATAGTATGGGCAATCAATCAAGTAAGCGTTGACAACAGGAATGCACTAATGCTTTAGTGCAGATAATGGTTTTGCAAACGATAAAGATTATTGTTTATTTGAGATTTTTTTTTTTTGTTTTTTAACGAGGCTGGAATTGTGTAGGCCTGCCAAGGGGACTTGGTTTTGGGTTTGTTCATGTGGGTACATTACCTCTTGCCGATGCTGAGCAGTAAATCAAGTTGTAATCCACAGTCCAGAGACTTGATTCTGCAGTTGGTTGAGAGGTTGAGTACCAATTGCAATTAAAATGAGCTTCTATTCCGTTTTGATTTCCTACTTCTTTTACTAAGACTTCTCTTGCAGGATTTTATCTCCCCCCAAAGCTCATACTATTCTAGTGAATGGTGCTGTCAGAAAGGGGGAGCGCCTAGTGCCTCCGTCCGCTCTTGAGCTTCTGGTGAGAGCCACTTTCCCAGCACCTTCAGCTCGAGTCAAGGTGGGTGTTCTCTGGGAGCTAGCAGTTTATTTTCCCACAATATTTATTTTAACAAGATTGGAATCTGATGTGTTTGAGGCATATGTTTTTGTTCAGGCAACTGAGAGATTTGAAGCTATATATCCCACCTTGAAAGATGTAGCTCTTGCTGTTGCCCCTGGAAGCAAAGCAATGAGACTAGTTACGCAGCAGATAATGCCTTTTTCTGTCAAAGCTGCTGGGGAAGGTATGGAACCAACACTAATCAACTGCTTCTTACTGTCCGTTTTCTTTTTTTTTTTTGGGAGCAAGGGACATTAGGCATTTTGCTTTATATCAGTGCTTTCTTGATGGATGAAGCCGATTGCAGGTATTCCTGATCTATCAAGGGAAGCAAGTGATTTATTTATTTGGTGTTTGGCACAAAACCCAGACTGTTACAAGCAATGGGTGAGCTGTTCTGATTTTGTTGCTACCATTAGTGTTTATTCATCTGAGGCCGTTTCTCTCCCCCTTTTGTACCTTATCAGTTACTCTCTCACTGTTCTTTTCCGGAAATATTTTGAAACAGGACGACATTTATTTGGATAATATCGAAGCAAGTATTAATATTTTGAAAAAGCTGTCGGATGAATGGAAGGTGCACTCTGTTAAGCATGCTAATCATGACTCTTTGAAGGTGACTTTAAAGAGTTTCAAGGAGAAGGTAAGCATATTCTTTTGAGTACTCTATGCAAAAGTGTGTTGGTTGGGTGGATCTGTTTTGCCCCATGAAAGTAGGTAGTAAATAATTCAAAGAAGAATAAAAGGATAATATTTGGCCAGTGTAATGAAATGTCCCAATGTTTCGTTTAACTAGAATATAATTCCTATATCATCAGCATAATCTTTATTATGCTATATCTTATGTTCAAAGAGATGATATGGAGAGGATGCAGGAGCTTAATTTTCATAACAAGAAAAGGAAAAAAAGTATGAAAGAAAGCGGAAAGAAGAGGAAAGGAAATATGTCTGTTTTATATTAACTCCTAGGATAAATAATGTGCATCTCTCATCTCTTCTGGCATGAAACAACCCATACTTACCTCCCAAACTAGTCCAACTCTGTGTTTTTGTTTTGTGTATTTATTAATATTACTACTGAGTGTGTTCGCCATTTGCATTGCAATAGTTTGAATGAATGAATTCCCTGTAATCTATAAGTGCCAATTTGTAAAAATTACAGATCCTTATGTCCTCAAGGTCTTCTTCATGCTGCCAATCATGTTGATTGTAAGTGGATCGATGGTTAAATTGTTGCTAACTTGTTTCGTGTTTCATGGCCTCTTAGAATGAGAAGGCAATGGGTAGTGAAAATGATACTGCCCGATTAGCATCCTTGAAGGATGCGCAGAAGTACTGCAAGATAATACTGGGACGAGTTGTGCGAGGCCATGTATGCATGAAGAACATCGTATTTGTAACTGTTGCATTTGCCATCGGTGCAGCTTTCATCTCCAAGGCCATGCCGTCTTGGGACTTGGACAAACTGTTCGTAAAACCTAACTTACCGTAAACTTTCACACCTTCTTTAGAAAGGCTCTCCAGCCGATGATGGTTCATGCCACCATTTAAATGCAATTATATCCAGCATAGACAAGCTAGATGGCCCAGTAACTAAAATGGGTAGAGGATGAGTTCAATTTAGAACTTTCTAGTGAAGCTCATCGGTTTTATTAACGTGGATATAGGAGGAGCAGCAGCCAAAGTTCGTGGTATGTCATTTTACAATTTACAGTGTTTTGTCTTATCTTAATTATGGAACCCTTTTATGACTTTTTGTGATAGTGACCGAGTTATAGTGTTTTTTCCTTTGTCTTCCGAGTGTGTAAAATGGTTATACATACATGCCATGAAATGTTGCTCATTCCATTTCGTCCTCCTTCTACTTCGTCTGCATGATGCAGTACAAATGATTTATGCCCTTTTTGGGGCTTATACTGATTAAGTTATGGTTATGAACTCTGATCTGAAATTAAGCTAATAAGAGAGAAAAGGCACCTTGAGGATGTCCTCGCCGCACTGACTAGGGCGGTTTGCTAGAGTAGCAAAATGGACTTGGGTAGGCTAGTGGTTGAAGGATTTTGTGGTATGCATATATTTGTTTCTTTAGTCATTGAGGAGTCTTAGCTGATTGCTGATGGGTTTACAAACTGATAAATCTACACCAACGGTTCAATTGATGAAATGATTTGGTACTCTGTCCTTCAACTGGTGGTCCTGAGTAGCGAAGCTTTTAGGTCTTTTTTTAGGTCATTAAGAAGTGAAAGCTACATATGTTTTGATCCCAGACCAAAAAAAAAACGTGTTTTGATCGAATTTTTGGAGTTTTTGATTTCCCCTTTTGAGTCTAAGGCTTCAGATTCCCATTTAGTGATAAGGTTGCTTAATTATAACTTAACTCTCATGGGTTAAAGTCATTTAGTTAGGGTGTGGTTGTTAATCCAAATTCAGCAATTAAAATGAAAAATGAATGTATTCAATACTTATTAATTAAGTTCGTTTGATAACTTAAATTTAAACTCTCTTAATATGTTAAGTTCTTCTTCAAAATAGGCTACAATATTAAGTAGAAAATCGTTTACTTAATTCTAAAAGTTGAAAGTATTCAGCAAAATCATCTTTAATAATACTAGTAATGCACCACATGCGTTACATGTAAATAGTTTTCATATATAAAATATTAATAAAAAGTATTAGGTATATATGTACATACATTATATATCGTCTCAAATTTATTGAAATTATATTTTATTGTTCATATTATACTATAGAATTTCAAAAATATTGTCTGTTTTTGCAGATACATTATTCTAACTATAAGAAAAAAGATAAAAATAATTCATTTAAAATTCATTTGATTAAGTTTCATCTTATAATTTATAAAATAAAATAAAATAAAAATAATTGTCAATACTGTAATTAATGTTTACTATAATTAGGAATTAGTTAGGTCAATATTGATAAAATATAGGGTTAATAGCACTTTTGCTATCTAAAATGTGTTTTCTATCAATTTAGTCATCAATATATAAAATTTATCAATTTAAAATATTCAATTCTTGTTTAAATGGTCCCTAATCAGATAGTCTATTAAGTTTTTTGACAGAAGTGTGTCATTCGTTCAGACAGTATCACATGATCAACACATGATCACTTTTGTCCAAATTATCCGTATATGGATCATTTAAACATTAACAATGGAGAGATAGTGTGATATTTAAACCTATGGATGACAGTGGATCAGGGAAAAACAAGTATTCGTCTAAACTTGTCCTGTTTGGACCGAAGATGGACTATACGTATTGGACGGTGGACGTAAACGGAGATACCCGTATAAATCCGTGCGGAGATGAAGGCGGGGATAGACTTACACTTATCCCCGCCCTGTCCCCACCGGCTCTGTTACCAGTTAAAATATATATATATATTTGTCTACTATAGAATTATTGATTTATTAGTTAAGTTTTAAGGTAATGCCTGCAGTATTTGGTCACATTAGTAATTAAGTGCATAATGAGTATTGGTGATCAGCCTTTTGGCCCTTTTACTGTCTTCTAGCTTTGTGCATGTAATTATTGATCTTCATTACAGTAAATATAGGGGCATAGTAATTGAATAAAATGGGCCTGTTTTAAGATTTTCCATCAGCAGTATTACCTTGGCACCATACTGTGGGCTAGGCAGATGTACTTCGAAAACGATTTTTTTTATGGCACAATAATTGGGTTTGGGCTTATGCTTGGGTTGGGCTTAGGGTTGAGCTTGAGTTTGGGCGGATACGGGAAAAGCAGGACGGGTACAAGATTATAAATTTACCTGCGGACGGGAATGAGGATGAAAATTATACCCGTCAGTGGGGGTGGACCGGGTATAATTGACTTTATCATAATAATTATGAGCAAAATAGGAAATCAAAATTTTTTCACAGATGCTAACATTTATAAGTAGTATAGATATAAATATAGATTTACAATATAATAAGTATACCCCGAAATATTTTACAATTCTATTAAAACTCTAATTAGTCTTCTCTTCAAAACACTTAACCTATATATTCTCCTTGTCGATCTCTTTTTTTTCTTTCCTTTGTCTTTTGTAACAAAAATATACATATATAAATATAATTACACACACAAACATATGCGCTGCACACACGCGGCGCATACACACATATTGTTAATAAAATCTAATTTATTATATTTTTTTAATATTATTTGATTACTTATTAGTTGTTTTTTTTTATCAGATGTTATTGTTCGTTTATTATGTTATTTAATTTGTAATTGTTCACTTATTGTGTTATTCAGATGTTATTTATTTATTTATATGTTTGATCAAATATTTGTTAAATGTATACTACAATATAATAATAGTGATTATGATTTATGTTATAACATTTTGTAAATATTTTTAAATTAAAGAATGGAAGGGTAAAACTGAAAATTAATTTATTTTTAGACGTCAGCTCTGTGTAGTTATCAAACAGTTTAATTCAATTCAGTACTTAAATTTCAGTGAAAGTCTACAAATTCAGCATTCAACTTTCACACTTCAACTTTCCAATTTCAACTTTTAGTTTTAACAAACATCACCTTAGTCTCGCGTACATTTAACTATTTTCAGGCCATATAGTGACAAATGGAGTCTCAAATTTTAAGACTAAAACAACCATCCCCACTAGAGAGAGTGGAGATGGCCTAGTGGCCCTTGGACCACACAACTCACTCGGTGTTACGTAATGGATTTCAGCCTCATTGCACTTTTCCCGTAAACCCTTACCCCGCCATGTCCATGGCCGCCCTGACTGCTCTGTGGTGTGGGGGTAGCTTGAGCATTCTTTTTTTGGCTAATTGAGAATTTATAGATAAGGTAAGAATGGGAGGAGGGTTGCTTAAGTAGTTTCTCAAAAAGACAGATAAAATTGATGCTCTTGGTCGACTACTCTTATTATCCCAGACGGGGATAAAAAAAGAAAGTGAGAAGAAAAGAATTTGGGTATGAATTGTTAAAGTTGATCTGGGTGAAGGGCCCAGTAATTATTAAAAAGGAACTAGGTGGTGCAAAACCAAATTAATCGAAGGTAAGGATAGGATCTGGTAATAGACTGCAGCTTCATAGGTTTACTGTAAATTCACGGAGTCATCTATCTTGATCACATTTCCTTCCCTAGTGCATAATTAGTAGAAAACAAAGAGAAGATGTGTACAAACAAGAAATCTAGCAACAAGAAGAGGGACAGAAGAAAATTATATAAACACCCTCAAAATTTCATTAATTTATATTTAGGTAGTGAATATCTATTCACAAGAACAAATTCAATTATTTATGAATTCTAAACTTCAAAGTGTTTTTGNCACTTATTGTGTTATTCAGATGTTATTTATTTATTTATATGTTTGATCAAATATTTGTTAAATGTATACTACAATATAATAATAGTGATTATGATTTATGTTATAACATTTTGTAAATATTTTTAAATTAAAGAATGGAAGGGTAAAACTGAAAATTAATTTATTTTTAGACGTCAGCTCTGTGTAGTTATCAAACAGTTTAATTCAATTCAGTACTTAAATTTCAGTGAAAGTCTACAAATTCAGCATTCAACTTTCACACTTCAACTTTCCAATTTCAACTTTTAGTTTTAACAAACATCACCTTAGTCTCGCGTACATTTAACTATTTTCAGGCCATATAGTGACAAATGGAGTCTCAAATTTTAAGACTAAAACAACCATCCCCACTAGAGAGAGTGGAGATGGCCTAGTGGCCCTTGGACCACACAACTCACTCGGTGTTACGTAATGGATTTCAGCCTCATTGCACTTTTCCCGTAAACCCTTACCCCGCCATGTCCATGGCCGCCCTGACTGCTCTGTGGTGTGGGGGTAGCTTGAGCATTCTTTTTTTGGCTAATTGAGAATTTATAGATAAGGTAAGAATGGGAGGAGGGTTGCTTAAGTAGTTTCTCAAAAAGACAGATAAAATTGATGCTCTTGGTCGACTACTCTTATTATCCCAGACGGGGATAAAAAAAGAAAGTGAGAAGAAAAGAATTTGGGTATGAATTGTTAAAGTTGATCTGGGTGAAGGGCCCAGTAATTATTAAAAAGGAACTAGGTGGTGCAAAACCAAATTAATCGAAGGTAAGGATAGGATCTGGTAATAGACTGCAGCTTCATAGGTTTACTGTAAATTCACGGAGTCATCTATCTTGATCACATTTCCTTCCCTAGTGCATAATTAGTAGAAAACAAAGAGAAGATGTGTACAAACAAGAAATCTAGCAACAAGAAGAGGGACAGAAGAAAATTATATAAACACCCTCAAAATTTCATTAATTTATATTTAGGTAGTGAATATCTATTCACAAGAACAAATTCAATTATTTATGAATTCTAAACTTCAAAGTGTTTTTGGTTAAGATAAAATTTGTTAATGTTGATAGATTATCACCATCTAAAGATAATCAGAAGATAATTTCATAACTTCAAAAAAAAAAAATGTTATATTACAAGCCAATGGTACTTGTGTTATGGGATTTATTGCTAACAATGAGCTACTAACCAAATATTAGGTACTATGAGTCAGTTGTATCACTTGTCATCTCTGTACGGGATGAGTAGATATTCATTATAATTATGGCACTATGGGCAGGGAAGAAATGGGGACGAAAAGGAAATACCACCGGCATATGGTCACTATCTTAGTCGGTGACATATAAAATTAGGCGAAACAAATGCAAGATATACATTATCAAATATGCCCACTAGACCACTACCATCATGATATTTGATATCTATATTTTCTTGAAGTGCAGCAACTACCCACAAAACTCGTGTAACTACCTCTAAAGAATAAAAAAACAAAAAGAGAAAGAGATGATGCATGAAGCTTGTGGGGGTGTGTGTAGAAAAAATGTTCATTGCAACTGTTATACTATGTCGTCATGTTGACATTGTATAACTGTGAAATGATAGGATAATAAGTGAGCAAATGAATTTTATATAATTAAATAACTACCCATCTTGTTATATAATAACAACTCATGTAAAATTTGCTTGTATAATTGTTATTCTATCATTAGACTATTGCAATGAATATTTTCTTGTGTGTGTTTGAGAGAGAGAGAACAAAAAATTACATGTCAAAAATATATAACAAAAATGTTGAAAAGTGTTGAGGAAATTAGAAGAAAGCAAGCAAGAGACACGGCGCTATTAACGCTTTACTTTGTGATTATCCACCGTTGGGAACTTTGTCAGTGAGCAGCATAGTCCCTAGATTCACGCCTTAAAAAAATGCATGCCATATTCCCCATTCCTTCTTTGCCCTTCCTTCCTTGATCTTCTCAATTATTCCTATAAATGGAAACCTCATTCCTTTCCTTCCATTTCATCGTTCTTAAAAATCTCCTTGTGTTTTCTGAGGATTTAGATTTAGTCAGTGAGTCACCAGAGAGAGAGAGAGAGAGAGAGAGAGAGAGAGAGAGATGGCAGCAGGACGTCCGTTCAACTCTGCTCTCTTGCTGGTTTTATCAGTGCTGCTTTTGATTACTTTCGCCAATGTGGTTGAGGTAGTAAATCTTGTTAGATCACATATTATTTTAGTGTTGGATTTTTGTTATTGTCAAATCACCTTTCAGCTCGTGAGAGACCCATACCCATTTGAATACTATAATTTCTTGTGAATTTTTAAAAAATGATATAATATTAAAAAATTTAAGGGAATTCATTGCGAGAGCAGATTTTAACCTTTATATACTTATTTAGTTATTTATTATATGTTTCATGCAATCGAGTAGAGTATTGTCTAATAATTTTCTTGTGTGCCTTTTGACAGGGTTACAATAGGCTTCGTCCCGCAGGTGTATCACTTTCTATGAACCAGCATTTTCTGCCTTTTTTATTCACAGTTTTGATTTCACACAAGTTTGTCTTTTTGATAATATGTTTTTCTTATGCGTTTATTCCTTAATTTTCTCCCCAAAGCAAAGCAAGTAATGGTCTTTAAGCACTCATTTGGGCTGGGGATTGAGTGTGCGTGTGTGTGTATAAGAGAGAGACAGAGAGATTTAACAAGGGTAAAAGCTATCCCTCCAGCATTACTCCTCAACAAAGAGTCTAGATCATCTTGTATCATACTTTTTGGCAATTTCATTTAATGGTCAATAACTAACCCTGCACGAGTGAGAGGCTAAGTTATAAATAGGGCATCCCACTAGATTTGTGCGGCGGGTTCATATTGTATTTGTTCATCTACGCATGNCCTGCACGAGTGAGAGGCTAAGTTATAAATAGGGCATCCCACTAGATTTGTGCGGGTTCATATTGTATTTGTTCATCTACGCATGTATAAACCAGTTTAAATTCCTCTAAAAAGGGTCATTATATTTCTGTTTAAACATGGAATAAGCTTACAGACTATCTCTCTCTTTCTCTCTCTCATTGAAAATGTACAGATTGCAGACCAAGATGTAGCTATCGTTGCTCAGCAACATCACATAAGAAGCCATGCATGTTCTTCTGCCAGAAATGCTGCTCCAAATGCTTGTGCGTTCCTCCGGGCACTTACGGCAACAAACAAACATGCCCTTGCTACAACAACTGGAAGACCAAGGAAGGCGGTCCTAAATGCCCTTAATCAACCTNCGGGTTCATATTGTATTTGTTCATCTACGCATGTATAAACCAGTTTAAATTCCTCTAAAAAGGGTCATTATATTTGCTGTTTAAACATGGAATAAGCTTACAGACTATCTCTCTCTTTCTCTCTCTCATTGAAAATGTACAGATTGCAGACCAAGATGTAGCTATCGTTGCTCAGCAACATCACATAAGAAGCCATGCATGTTCTTCTGCCAGAAATGCTGCTCCAAATGCTTGTGCGTTCCTCCGGGCACTTACGGCAACAAACAAACATGCCCTTGCTACAACAACTGGAAGACCAAGGAAGGCGGTCCTAAATGCCCTTAATCAACCTCCCTAATTACTATATATATATATATATATTTGTGCTGCTTTATTCTTCAATTATTATGTGATTTTATTATTGGCTATTTTAGTCTCTACCGAGGGCTGCACTTTTTGTAATAGTGCTTTTTTTTTTAAGCGATAAAATCGACAATTTTACTATCATTAAGCTAAATCTGAAGTTAAGAAAAAGTTTCATGTTTTAAGAAGCATGTTTAAATTCAATGTTGAGTGGGGTGTGTTTGGATTCAACTTCATTTCCTTTTTTTTTATGTGATTCTAAATCATTAATCTTTTATTGCCAATTAATTACCTGACCTAATAAAGCTAAAGTCGTTCCCAAATTGGTTTTCTTCTCAATTTTTTAATATCATCTCACATTGACCTAGATAAGTTCTCTGAAACTCTTTTTTTCATTGACCAAAGAGAACTTATTATCATGGTAGTTGTTGGGCGAGATCAATTGTTAAAAAAAAATAAATCGTAACATCGGTATTGTTATTAGAAAGGACATATTACAAAAGTCATAATCCTTGATATGACATCAAATTCGTTTTCATTAACTTTTCCTGGCCTACTCGTGATGACCATTAAATAAGTGGTTCTCACAAAATGCGGTGGTTATTTGATTAAAATTGGTAACAAATTAATTCATAATAATATTATCACGTAGTAATACGAATGAGTTATTAACTCAAAAGTTTTAAATTTGAATTTGAACAATTCTTCATGGTAAGGCCTTAAAAAATTTACCTTAATTGAGGTGCGCATATCATTACTAATATGACCTTGTCAAGCGATGTATAGCCGTAATTCCAATGGCAGTAAAGCCAAATTTATGGAAAGTGATTTATCTTATTTGCATATAAGGTTTTTTAACTAAGTATGAAACATATATGTAAGGAAAATTCTCCATCCACGAAGGATTCTGGCTAACTTGGCGTGTCTAGACCACCCAGTAGTCTTTATCTCTCGTCCCATCTCGGGAGAGAGTCGTCTCCCCCCTGTCATATAAGTCTGCACTTACTATGGAGGAGGTACCCACTTACGACTCTCTCCCGATGTGGAATGAGAGATAAAAGCTACTGGATAGTTTAGACACCCCAAGTCAACCAAAATCCTTCGTGGAGGAATAATTTTCCTTACAATATATTTTAATGATTTCCATGTTTTTATCACCAACAGAAAAGAATGCATAGTATATAAAATATTTTACAACCTAATTCTTTTGAAATTTTCCATTTCAATGATTTGTTTATTAGCAAATTAAAATTAAACAAGAAGGAAGATNTTTATGTGATTCTAAATCATTAATCTTTTATTGCCAATTAATTACCTGACCTAATAAAGCTAAAGTCGTTCCCAAATTGGTTTTCTTCTCAATTTTTTAATATCATCTCACATTGACCTAGATAAGTTCTCTGAAACTCTTTTTTTCATTGACCAAAGAGAACTTATTATCATGGTAGTTGTTGGGCGAGATCAATTGTTAAAAAAAAATAAATCGTAACATCGGTATTGTTATTAGAAAGGACATATTACAAAAGTCATAATCCTTGATATGACATCAAATTCGTTTTCATTAACTTTTCCTGGCCTACTCGTGATGACCATTAAATAAGTGGTTCTCACAAAATGCGGTGGTTATTTGATTAAAATTGGTAACAAATTAATTCATAATAATATTATCACGTAGTAATACGAATGAGTTATTAACTCAAAAGTTTTAAATTTGAATTTGAACAATTCTTCATGGTAAGGCCTTAAAAAATTTACCTTAATTGAGGTGCGCATATCATTACTAATATGACCTTGTCAAGCGATGTATAGCCGTAATTCCAATGGCAGTAAAGCCAAATTTATGGAAAGTGATTTATCTTATTTGCATATAAGGTTTTTTAACTAAGTATGAAACATATATGTAAGGAAAATTCTCCATCCACGAAGGATTCTGGCTAACTTGGCGTGTCTAGACCACCCAGTAGTTTTTATTTCTCGTCCCATCTCGGGAGAGAGTCGTCTCTCCCCCTGTCATATAAGTCTACACTTACTATGGAGGAGGTACCCACTTACGACTCTCTCCCGATGTGGGATGAGAGATAAAAGCTACTGGATGGTTTAGACACCCCAAGTCAACCAAAATCCTTCGTGGAGGAATAATTTTCCTTACAATATATTTTAATGATTTCCATGTTTTTATCACAAACAGAAAAGAATGCATAGTATATAAAATATTTTACAACCTAATTCTTTTGAAATTTTCCATTTCAATGATTTGTTTATTAGCAAATTAAAATTAAACAAGAAGGAAGATTTGTGTTTATCTTGTTTTAGTAAACAAGCAAGTCTTCATTAGATTCAAAATTGATATTTATCTAGGATTTTAAATGAATCAAGTTATTTGAATTTGGCTCGGGCTCAATTTGACTTTATTGGGTATGAAAAGATGAAGAATCTCGTTTAACATTCAAGTCGATCTCTTGAGGAACATGCTGCTTGGTCTGAGAGGCTAAAACTTAATTAGCTCACTCTTTTCTCACAGTAAAGTTTCCTACCTCTTCCTTATCCATTATCAGGTTCTGTCCTTCACCCATATAAACTTGTCCTTATTATTTTTTTTAACAAAAAAAAAAA